GACGCTACCGACGCCAATCGACGCTAAATCAACGCTGATCAACGCTAATCGACGCTGATCGACGCTACTCGGCGCCATCTCATGGACTACCAGGCGCTAGTCGACCCTAACGCACCCGAAAGACAAAAATGCGAGGGTACACAAGGCCCCCATGAGTTGCAACCGAACCAGATGCAACTCAGAACCGACAGCGGCCGCTGCTGGGCTGTCCCCAGACTTGCAGCGGCCGCTCATTCAATATGTGACTACTCTCGCACGTCGCCGACCGCCGCCTGGCTTTCGGCTCACAACTCGGATCTCTGGCGGCCGTCCGGGACGATTCTGCCCCCCCCCCTCGGGACGCTCTTTTTTGGTCTGCGGGGCGAGAGCGAACCTCTTCCGCTAAAAGCTAGGCGGGCTACGCGCAGCTTCAATTAAGGAGACAAGGCACAGGAAGGCGGGGCCTCGGGCGGCCGGAGCAGGTGGAGCCCGGGGTGCAGGCGGTGCCGAAGAGCTTGCACAGGAGAAGGTACGCCGCGGACGAGGACCGGGGGCGAAGACCCGGAAGGCGAAGGAGATGGTGTAGCCGTCAGCGGCACGTCGCGAACACCAGCCTCAAGCACTGCGGAGGAGGACGCGCCACTTGACCAGGCCGACGCCCCCTCGGGACGCTCTCGGCGAGGCGCAAATATTTGAAAGCACCCCAAAGCTGGAAATCGCCAAGAACTGACGAGAACGCCTCGACCTTCCCGATCGGGGGGGGATCCTCCGACAGTTTATGCTTATACCTTATATTGTTTGGCGTCCCTCGGCTAGCCCTGGCGTTTCATCCCGACTCGCTTGCTGACCGCCCCGCGCCCAGCAGCTGTGTATACGCAATGCCCTCATGGCTCGGCCAGGATGGCGTGCCCGTCGGTCGGAAGAAGTGGGCCGAAACATGAAGTACGAAGGCGATTGAAGTAGACTGGGTTTCTGCCCACCCCCTGAAGAGAAGGGAAGAGGGAGCACCGCTAGACCTTTGAAGTATGAAGGCGCTTAAAGTAGATTGGGATCTGGATATCCAAAAATACCTACTTCCAACGACTGGCGTGTATGCACAGCTCTCGCGTCCAGGATGGGCCTGGGCAGGAGCAGTGGATATGTATGGGCTAGGTCGCCCGAAAAGACGGCCTCAGGAGCCCGAGAACGGCGAAAAGCCTCCGGGACCCGTCCCCCTCGAGACTGTTCCTTTGCGGTTGCCGGCAACGGTCGTTACATATCGGGGGGGAGGCGGGTAATGGCAATGGCAACGCTTGGGCGGTGTAGGGGCACGTCGGGGCGAGGGGGCGCTGCGGTCGCCACAGTACGCGCGCCAGCAGAATGTAGGGGGGGACCCACACCTCCCCCCTATGTACGATCAGTACCCTTACTGGGGGGGGCGGGGCAACGACCGTTGCGCGCCAGAGGAAAACACTATATACACTAGAACCATCGCGAGCGCTTCGCGCGCGCTCGAGTTCTCGCTAGGCTGGGTGGTCGAACTCTTGGGGATCTCTATTCCATGACACTTCTTCTCTGGGGCTCCCAAAAACCACGAAGACAGCCCAAGTGGCTTCCAAGACTTCTTACGGTCCACCCACCACGGCTTAAGGCAGGCCCAAAGGCACTTCGGGGGCCCTTGTATTTGCCGCGGCTGGACGTAGCAAGGACAGGGAGGAAAAGTGGAGGTGAAGAGGTTCCCTAGGGGAGAAAGAAAAGAATGGCCGCGGTTGGGGCCCTCTCGGGCCGTCGTGGACGTCCCTTCGGCGTTTTGAAACTATTGGGCCGTCTTGGGGCGCTTTTGAAGCCTATTGGGCCGTCTTGGGGCGATCTTCGGAGTCTCTTGGGGCGTTTTGCAGCGTTGGGAAGCGGAACAGGCGGAAACGCCAAAATTGTTTGAAAACCGGTGGAGAAAATATTGTTGGTCTCTTCGAGCTCTGTTGGGAGACCTCTTGGAAGCCTCTTGGGTATATTGGCGGCCTCCTGGGCCGCTTGGAAGCCGTCTTGGGCATTTGGGACCATCTAGTGGCCCTCGGCACATCCCGCCACCGTGCCTGGTTTTTGGGTTAGAAGCCTCTTGGAACTTCGTTTGGAATTCGTGGGAGGCCTCCTGGGGAGGCAGTTTTGGAAGCCTGTTGAAGGCCGTTCGGCCATTCAGGGTGCTCTTTTGGGGCCTCTCTGTGGACCTCTTTGGGGCCTCGTGGAGCCTCTAGGGGGCTAGGGGCCTCTTGGGGTTCTCTTGGGGCCCTCTTGGGGCCTCCTAAGGGCCTCTTGGGACGGAAGGCTCGAATTGTCGGTTCGTGTTCCCCCTTCTTGGGCCCCTCTTGGGGCCGTTTCGGGGCCCTCGTGAGCGATCTTGCGCGCCTCTTGGGCCGTATTGGGGCACTCTTGGGCCGTCTTGGGACTCTCTTGCGCCGTCGTGGCGCCCTCTCTGGGTGCCTCTTGGACCGTCTTGAACTGATTTCAGGGGCCTCGCGGGCTGTCTTGGACCGTCGGAAGCACGAAAAAGCGAGAACACGAAAAACCTTCAAAAACCCTCATGGGGGGGAACCAACAACAAACCAACACAAAAAAATGTGTTTCGCCTCCTGAGGGCCTCGTGGGAGTCCTTTCGAAGGCAATTTGGCCCTCTTGAAACCCTTTTGGGTTGTCTTCAAGCCATGTTGGACCAATTTTGAAATTATCTTGTGCGGTTTTGGGCCATTTTGGCGCCCTCTTGGACGTCTCTCGGGCACTCTCGTCGCCCCTTTTCCCCTCCTTTGAAGTGTTCTGGGGCCCAAAACGGTCAGAAGCGAAATCAGTGTAGTCTGGGGCCCCGGGGACTCCCTCCCCATTTCTATTGATATACGTATGTATATACACACATAAACATACACACATATACACACAAACAAATCCGTCGACCCTATCGGCGTGTGTGAGGGGCTTCTCCGTTCGAGTCGTCGTCGCCATCATTCGTTAATCGTCGTCTCTGTCGTCCTCTTTCCTTGCGCTCTCCTTTCCATGTGCCCGTCGCCGCTCCTCCCTCCTTGCCTGGGCCCTCCTCCGCAAGCGCGCCAACCAAAGCGAAGTTGAGCAGCACTCGCGCCGCCCGCAGCGCCGGCAGCGCGGGCGGAGTCAGCCGCCCGCTACCGCCGTCGCCGCGCCGCCGCGCTCTCCATCGTGCCGGGGCCCGAGGGCCGCACCTGAGCCAGGGGCGTGGTCGAGCCCAGACGGCTTGAGCCAAGGGGCTCGGGCCACAGGCTTGAGCCAGGGGGGGGTACGGACACCCACACTTTTGCGTCGGCGGCTGGACAGGGGGACTGCTCCGGCGATGTGGCATTAGTGAGTCCCACAAAACACGAATTAAGCCGCAGGGCACGCGGGAGGAGAGAAGAGGAGGCCCGGCGCGGGCGGGAGGGAGAGGAGGCCGGGCCCGCTCAGAGTAGCGCCAGGCCGCGGCGGGGTGGGCGCCGGGACGGGGGCCAGCGGCGGCGGCGAGGCAGCAGCTGGGGGGCGACAGCCGGCGGGCAGCCGGGCACAGCCAAGTGTGGGTGGCAGGTCCAGCGCAAGCTGGAGGCGGGCAGCGCAGCAGAGCGACCGAGGTGCGGCCGCCAGAGGGGACCAACGGACACACACACACACACACACACAGAGAGAGAGAGAGAGAGAGAAACACACACACACATACCCACAGGGGGAACAGAGGGAGGAGGACTGGCTATGGGTATGGGGGCGGGTTCTCGGACCGCGGGGGGGGGGCTCCCGTTCGAGCAAAGACCCCCATCCGACAACACGAAACTAGCCGTAGCCCCCTCCGTCCCCAAGATGGGCATGGGTGTGTTGTCCGTTCGTTAATTTCCTTCATGGCGACCCTGGCGCTCTCAGGGGAGGCACCAGGGGCTCCGCTGACCGCCGCTTCTTCGACTCTGACCTGTGCGTGTTTGCGAAATTCGGCAGCTCGTTCCGTCCCTGGCACCTGGAGGAATCCACGAGGTCTCGTTAAAGAACATGCATTTGGAAAAAACGCGGATTCCAACGAAAAGCATGATACTGGAGAAAAAAACAATCAGGGCTATAGGGCTAGGGGGCTAAAGGGCTATAGGGCTATTGAGCTATAGGGCTATAGAGCCATAGGGCTATAGAATTGTAGGGCTACAGGGCTATTGGGCTATAGGGCACCCCTGGGCACCCCCGGGCACCCGGGCACCTCCAGGCACGCCCGGGCATCCGGGCACCAGGGCACCCCCGGGCACCCGGGCACCCGGGCGTCCCATCAGGGCCCTCGCCTCCTCCTCAATGGAAATGAATTCTCCCTGTCGCACCCCAAGGCTGGTCGAGAGGGCGGGCTGGGCGTTCCGCCTGCGACTTCCTTCCTTCTCATGAGGCTGAAGCTCAAAAATTGGCAGCAGGTTCACAGATGGAGGGCGGGTGGCTTCCAAAATGTGGCTCTCGCCTTAGCGCCGCGCACTTTCGTGTTCACAAAATGCAGCAGCTTCACGGATTGAGGGCGGGTGGTTTCCAACATGTGGCCTTCACCGTAGCGCCGCGCACATTCGTTCTAAACAATTGCAACAGCTTCACGGGTTGAAGGCAGGTCGCTTTCAACTTATGGATGACGCCTCATTGCCGCGCACACTCGTTTTACGAATTGCAAGAGCTTCACGGATTCAGGGCGGGTCGTTTTCAAAATGTGGCTCTCGCCTTTGCGCCGCGCACATTCGTTATTTAAAAAAATGCAAGAGTGATTCTGGCACGATAACAGGATCTCCAAGACATAGCAGTCAGGCTTACTCGTGGCGTTGAAATCCTGAGAGTTGTGTTTTGGCACGCTTCGGGATGTTCACTCGGTTGTTCCCCAACGGCGCAATTCCCTCAGTGCAAATGAACCACTGTAAGATCCTATGAGGAGGGAGCTTAGAGGGAGGATGTATTCCAACAACATTGATGAGTCGTGGGTTTGCACCGGTCCTCCTCCTCCTCCTCCTCCTCCTCGCCCTCCTCCTCCGCGCACGCCTCTCCTTTCACAGCGACCCGACCGTACCGATCTCGGGGCCCACTGGGCCGCCGGGCCGCCCACGGGCCCACCGCGGGCTCCAGGCCCTCGCGGTCCGGCGGCTGGGCGGGCAGCACGAGCTGCTGGAGCGCGTGCGTCTGCGCGGGGTGCGGTCGGGGCGGATGGGACGCACAAGGACACGGCAGGACACGGCGTCCGGCCCGAACAACTAGTCGGAGGTGGGGGGGTGAGATCGAAGTGGAACGGAGAGCCCCCCTACCGGGAAATCGATTTCGGTTTCGTGTTCGTGCGTGCCGTGCGGGCGAGGCGAAGCTGCGTGGGCGGGCGAGAGAAAGTCTCCTGTGGCTGAGGCGCGGCCGGACCAAATGATTCCCTTCCGGGCGGCCGGGGCCCCGCGGTGTCCCGCCGGTGTCCCGCTGGTGTCCCATGTGGCTGAGGCGCGGCCGGACCAAATGATTCCCTTCCGGGCGGCCGGGGCCCCGCGGTGTCCCGCCGGTGTCCCGCGGTGTCCCGCGGTGTCCCGCGGTGTCCCGCGGTGTCCCGCTGGTGTCCTGCGGTGTCCCGCGAGGGTGATGATGATGAGATGATGAAGATGATGATGATGATGATGATGATGATGATGATGATGATGATGACGATGATGATGATGATGATGATGATGATGATGATGATGATGATGATGATGATCATTATGATGATGATGATGATGATATGAGATGATGATGATGATGATGATGATGATGATGATGATGATGATGATGGTGTCCCGATGAAGATGATGATGATGATGATGGTGTCGATGATGATGATGATGATAGTGTCCCGATGATGAGGATGATGATGTTCATGATGACTATGTTGATGATGATAACGATGATGGTGTCCCGATGATGATGATGATGATGATGATGATGTTGATGAAGATGATGATTCCGATGATGTTGGTGATGATGATGTTGATGGAAATGGTGTCCAGGTGATAATGATGTTGATGATGATTATGGTGTCCCGATGATGATGCTGATGATGATGATGATGGTGATGATGATGATGATGGTGATGCTGATGGTGTCCCGATGATGATAATAATGAGAATGACGATGTTGATGATGATGATGTTGCTCATGATGATGGTGCCCCAATGTTGATGATGTTGTTGATGATGATGTTGATGATGATGATGATGCGATGATCATGATGATGGTGTCCCGATGATGATGACGATGTTGATGATAATGTTGATGATGAGAACGATGGTGATCATGATGGTGTCCCGATTATGATGGTGATTATGATGCTGCTGATGATGATGACGATGACGGTGTCCCGATGATGATGTTGATGATGAGATGATGATGGTGATGATGATGATGATGTTGTCCCGATGATGATGCTGACGTTGATGATGATGTGTATGATGATGATGATGATGATGATGATGAATGATGATGATGATGACGGTGCCCTCATGATGATGACGATGTTGGTGATGATGTTGATGTTGATGATATTGATGATGATGATGATGATGATGACGTTGATTGTGAAAGCGATTGTGATATCGATAGTGAGATCGATATTGAGACCGAATGTGAGATCGATTGTGTGATCGATTGTGAGATCGATTGTGAGATCGATTGTGAGATCGATCGAATGAGATAGATCGAGTGATATCGATTGTGAGATCGATTGTGAGATCGATCGAGTGAGATCGATCGAGCGAGATCGATAGTGAGAACGATACTGAGATCGATAGTGAGACCGATCGAGTGAGACGTTGGTTCCCCCCCCCCCCCCCGAACCTCCTTATCACCCGAAGGGTGGTCGTATAGGTATAACCATCTTGTAGCACATCGTCTCCCGAGCGGTATGGCCAAAAAGCGCCCGCCTCGACGCATGTACTATCAGATTTCTCGGTGCGCGCGTCGCCCCTGGGGGTGGCGACGCACACACAGTGTTGATTTGTATATTTGGGCGGCGCCGACACAAGACCCTTCCGAGGGCCACATTCGGCGGCGAGCGAGGGGAAACGAGAAGGAGACGGCCTTCTCAAAGGCGGCGGGACTTCTCAGAAGCCCTCGCGCCTTCTGAGGTTTCCTGCGTCTTCGGGGAAGGCTCAGACAACTTCTCAGAAGGATGGGGAGAATCCGAGCCTTCTGAAAGGCCCGCCCCTTCTAACTTGTCCCCGCGGGCTCGCCGCCGACACACTGCCACAGGAATGTAGAAAGCATTGGTCGCGAAGCTCAGGGCACAAGGATATCCCTTGATCTGGCAGGGTCGATCGATGCTAGTCAACCTCGAATGTGCGGCAGGTTCGCATCGTGACGACCCCTGCGCCAGTTTCTGACACCTCGTGCATCGCTCGACCTTGAAAGATCGGCGGTTTCTCGATCGCCAGACCGTTCCACATTGGCCGATTCTGGGGCACTGTGGCGTTCAACCTGGAGACTGCGCCACGAATATATATATATATATATATATATATATATATACATATATATATATATATATAGTTGTACATCTGTATATATAGGTATATACTAGAACCATCAAGCGCTTCGCGCGCGCTCAAGTTCTAGCTAGGCTCAAAAGGCAAACGCATGGAATCTCAATAATTGATGTGCAAAGTGCATCTACAAGCTTCTTATAGTCCCTGCGCAAGCCTCGGAAGCGTATAAAGGGGAAATGCGGAAACCACACAAACACAAATTTCCTGTTTAGTGTTCGATGACTTCGGGCCCTCGAAGGCTTCCTGGGAACTTTTTTCGGTGGTGGCGGGAGCCTTAGATATGGTCTGTCGTGCAAGCAATACGCAGTAAGCTTGAAAACAAGGGATTATTGGAATTCCATGTTTTTCAAATTGCCATGCCTGGGCCGTGGGTCAGAAGCTTCCTGGATACAGGCCGTGGACGGTTGGGACGCCTCTGGGCGCCGTTTGGCGGCGTCTTGGGAATCTGTCGGGGCTTTTTAGGAAGCTCTTTGTGCCTCCTGGGAGCCTCCTTGGAGTCTCCGCAGGCATCTGGGTGGCGCCTCGAGAACCTCTGGGAGAACTCTGGGGCCACCTTGGGGCGAAGCGCTCGTAAGGCTTTGGGAGGTCCCCTCTTTTCATTGGCGCGCGCGCACACGCTGACGTTCTAGCTAGGCTGGACAGGTGAACTCATAGGATCTCGATGTTTACGGTGGTTTCAGGGGCAGCCAAGAGGACACGAAGACGACCCAGAAGAGTGCCATGACAGCGTCAGAGAGTTCAACAGCATTCTCGAAAAATCTTTGCAATGTGACCCCGATGGGGCTCGGGATGAACTCGAACAAACAGATAATCACTGGATTCCATGTTTTTCCAAGTGGGGCATCCTAACATGTAGTGTGCAGGAGTCGGGGGGGGGGCCTAAGAGGCGTGCAGGGAACTCATGGGAGGCAGGTTGGAGGCCGCTGGGGGGCTGTTTGGGGGCCTCTTCGGGCCACTTTTGGGCCTCTTCGGGGCTCTTCGGGGCCTCTTCAGGCTCTTTGGGGTACTCTTGGGGCCTCCTGGGGGCCTCTTGGAGCGGAAAGCCGGGATTGTCGATTTGCGTTCCCCCTGTTGGGCGGCTTTTCGGTCTTGGGGCTCTCTTGAGCTGCCTCGGGGCGCTCTTGGGCCGTCTTTGGGCCTTCTTGGCCCGTCTTGGATCCGGCTTGGGGGCTCTTGGGCGGTCTTGGGGCGCTCTTGGTGGCTTTCTTTCGGCCGTCCTGGAGCGTTGGAAGCTCGAAACGCGAGAAAGCTAAAAGCCGCAAAGAAAAAATCAACGATGTTGGCCTCTTCGGGCGCTCCCGGGACGGGACGCCTCTCGGAGCTCTCTTGGGGCCTCTTGGAGGCCTCCTGGGAGCCTGGAGAGCCGTCAGAAGTCTGTCTTGGGTCGCTTGGAAGCGTCTTGGGCCGTCCTTTCGCGGTCTGGGGGCTCCTTGGGGCGTCTTGGGCCGTCCTGGAGCGTTTTGGGGCCTCCCTGGGAGGCACGGGGGCGCGGTACCGGGAGTTGCCCCCAGATGTCACGGAGGTGCGGGACGGTCTTGCTACCACCTTCAGGGGAGGGTGGCGGTGTATAACGTCACTGGCTCCCAGTGGTGTGATTTATACACCGCCAACCCTCCCCTGAGGCCCAGGAACCATCCATTGAAGAGTGTCCTGTTCCGGATAGCTCGTAGATGGCTAAGAGGATTCCAGGCTAGAAGCCGGCAAGCAAAGGCATCCCCAGAGCTCGTTCCAGCTTCCAGCAGGACACCTCGCCGGGGCTTGCTTGAAGTTGCAGCGTGTCCAAGAAGACCTTTTCTAACCGTTGCCCGATACGTGTGCCCTGAGGCTTTCCGGAAGCTCCTTCGGAAGCTCCTGTCAAGAGCTCCCTGCGCTCCTTCGACAGGTGTTGAAGGCCCCTCTGGCGTTCCGCTATCCGGGCTTTGGACATCACAACTGTACAGATTCTTTGTGGCGGAGGAACGCCCGCCGCGGGGCCGCCGCAGCGTCGACCCGGCACGAGCCTGCCGCATCCAGATGTGGTGTCCCCGGGCGTCGGCGGTCGCTCTCTGCGCGTGGCGCTTCCGACGCCGTGCCTCCCTCGCAACAGATGGGGGGGGCAGCGTCAGGCGGGGAGACTGGCTCAGGGGGGGCTGGCGGCGCGCAGAGAGGGGTGGGGGCGGGAGGCTTCTTAGAAGCAGGCTGCTTCTTAGAGGAAGGCGCGGGCCTTGTCTGCAGATGAGGTAACAGGAGATGTGCCGATCCCTATCCCAGGCTTCGTGGGCTTTTCGAATGGACCAGAAATTTGGGGCACAACCCTGGGATACACGATGGGGAGGCGTCCATCCTCGATAGGTGTGCGTCCGAATAGCCCCCTGGGGGGATTTCCCGAGGTTCCCTCCCCTCCTTTTCTGAGTGGTCGTCGAAAAGCCGGGGGCTGGGAGAGAAAAATCGCCTGCGATGTAAGGCTCGCGGCTTTTTAGAAGCAGTCTCTTTCTAAGAAGCCTTCCCCCCTCCCCCTACCCCCCTCTGCGCGACGCCAAGGGGGGAAACATCGATGTGGCATCGGCGATTTTGGACGCCCGAAATGGGTACGGAAAAACTGGGCACGATGCCCAACAGCAGATGTTGTCCAGAACCGACAGCGGCCGCTGTTGGGCAAGCGGCCTTGTGCCTCAAGTGTGCAACGACCGCAGCCGCGCCAACAGCAAACCCTGTTCAGAATGAATAAAAACTGCTGCTGGACTTTGTACCCATTGTTTCCGTACCCATGTCGATCGCCCCGTGCGACACATGGCCGATAGATCGGCGAATATGCTCCCGATAGCGGATCCGCATGTTCCTGGGCGGGGTGGGCTGTAGGGCCCCGATCGGCGAGAAATGCGCGATTGGGGGTCGATGCATCCGCCCCGGAACCTGTCCCCCCTTAGCGTTGCCCCGGAATGAAACTGCTCATCCCGAGTAGCTCTTGAACCGTCCCGGGACCCCGTGAGGTCCCCCAGAGGCCGAGAACTGCCAAAACCGTGGATCATGATCCGTTCACGAGGCGAGGCCTGGGAAGGGGGGGAGGGCAGGATCGGAACGCGCATCGCATCGGGAGATTGGGTCGGATCGGAACGTGCATCGGATCGGGCCGCACCCGCACCAAAGATAATGCACCACGACTCCGTGCCCGCATCCGGCCGCAACGGATCGACAGAGAGTCGGAATCGGATCGGCACCGAGCCAGCCGAGACCAGCATCGAATCGGACCGATCGCATCGGTGTGGGACACCTGGCGGGAACGGAAGGAGGCGGGCGACGTCTTCCGACCTCCTCTTCCTCCTCCGCCTCCTCCTCCTCCTCCGCCTCCTCCTCCTCCTCCCTCTCATTCTCCTCCTCCTCCTCCTCCTCCTCCTCCTCCTCCTCCTGCTCATCATCATCATCATCATCATCATCATCATCATCATCATCATCATCATCATCATCATCATCATCATCATCATCATCGTCGTCGTCGTCGTCGTCGTCATCATCATCATCATCATCATCATCATCATCATCACCATCTCATCATCATAATCCTCCTCATCCTGCACCTCCTCCTCCTCATCATCCACCTGCTCCTCCTCCCTCTCTCCCTCCACCTCCTCCTCATCATCATCAGCAGCATCAGCATCATCATCACCATCACCATCACCATTATCAGCATCATCACCATAGTCAGCATCGTCATCAGCATCGTCATCATCATCGTCATCATCATCATCATTATCATCAGCATCATCATCAGCATCAGCATCAGCATCATCATCATCATCATCATCATCATCATCATCATCATCATCATCATCATCATCATCATGGTCATCAGCATCAGCATCATCAGCATCAGCATCATCAGCTGCATCGTCATCATCATCAGCATCATCAGCATCAGTAGTTATCAGCAGCAGCAGCATCATCAGCATTCATCCTCACCATTATCGTCACATGTACCTGCATCATCAATGACAACGGCATCATCATCATCATCATCAGCATCATCATGATCCTCAGCAGCAGCATCATCATCATAAGCATCATCGTCATCATCAGCATCACCATCATCATCATCGGCAGCATCAGCACCAGCATCAGCATCATCACCTTGAACAGCATCATCATCATCAGCATAATCATCAGCATCCTCATAAGCATCAGCATCACCATCATTGTAATAATCATGTTCACAATAATCAACATCAGCATCATCATCATCATCACCATCAGCATCACCATCATCATCATCCTTCTGCTGCCTTAATATCCTGCCTCCGTTCTCCTTCCGTTCGTCACAGCTCAGGTCGAAACCTGGACAGCCGCGTTGGTGCCTACGTTGCGCCGCCAGCGCCACCCAAGGCTCCTCAAATGATCGCGTGTCTGGTGCGATATGCACGTTCCGCCGTGAACAAAAAGATACGATCTCCAAAGTAAATGCCCCTTCTCGCCAACAGGATCACCTCACAACCATCACATCGATATCACCTCGTTCCTCCTCCTCGTCGTTCCTCCTCCTTTCATCCTCCTGTCTCGTCCTCATCCTCCTCCTCCTCCTCTTTCTCTTCCTCCTCCTTCCTCTTCCTCCTCCTCCTCCTCCTTCTTCTCCTCCTCATCCCACCTGCCACCCTTGGGGCTGCGGCGCCATCTCCGGCGTGTGCAGGAGCATCTTCACCAGGTCCTCTGCGGGGGGGGAAGCGCGGTCGGGGCGCCGAAGACCAGCGCTACCCGGGACGGCGGGGGTCTGGATGAGGAGAGGGGAGGGCCTTCCCTCTCCTCAACCTCCCTCCTTCGAAAATTGGCCGAAACCACTTCATACCACAAGGAGATCGGGGGGGAGAACAAGGGAGCGCACTCATGCCGGCACTTTTCTGTCTCGCCCTCCGCCCAGCCTGATGTGACACCCACAGCAGGAGACCATCTGGAACGGAGACTCTGGCATACTTGGGCGATGTGTATGTGGTGTGCGATCCGACAGACGCGGCTTTCGTTTGACGTGTTGTCCTGGAAACGTCACGACGTGTATGCCATATCGACGTGCATGCTGGGAAGACTGCAGTCTGGGTCAACAATCTGACACACTGCCTGGCAAAATTTGGCCCGACTGACACCCAATGCTTAGAAGTCCGATGCTCCGCACCCTTATCCGATTCGCAGAGCATGCGCATAGACCTATAATAGGCCTATGTCTAGGCTACGACAGGGTCTAAGGCGCATGAGCCCGCCTGCCTTGGATCGATTGGCTTACAATGAGGCTATTGGTAGGCTACGTATAGGCCTGTAATGGGCCTATCGACAGGCTGCGCACCAGCCTATCATAGACCTGCGGACAGCCTATGCACAGGCATGTGGTACGCCTACTTGGCTCCAACAAAAGTTTCCTTGGAAACTCGCAAGAGGAATAATATGTATGTAAACCCGTCGGCAAGATGAAAAGTCGCGCGCGCGTGCTCAGCGTTCGCACGCACGCGATCCCAAGACGTCCCATGGCCACAACATGCTTCCAGGAATGCCTCCGGCCACGGACGATAACGTCCAGAGGACCCAGGATGATGCCACCCCAAAGCGATCCCGCCATGGATTCTGGACCGTCTCAGGCCGACTCGCAGATGACGAAACACATGAGCAACGCGTGACGCCGAGATGGCTCGATGGCAACAAGATGGATCCAAGCGCACCCAGGGTGGCCTCATAATGACCACGCGATGGTTGCGTGATCCAAACATGACCGGGATATGATCTCAAGATGACCTCAAGACGACCCCAACACGGCAATAATACTGCAACTTATGAGCCCCATCTTACTTCGAGCCGATCCCAGCATGGTGGGATCCGTGAACGGCCCAGGATTTTGGTCTACCCCATGTTTAATTGATGGGATTTTGATCGTCCTGAACTAAACTTATAATATCAAAGCGGAATAAGCCAGGCGGGATCCCGCCCGGCCCACGGAGGAAGACAACATTGCTAGGCTTCTACGGGGGTAGGGGGTTCGGAAGGGGCGTCGTTTACTTCCGCTGACATTGGCAAGCCTTCCGGCGGCCTTCCCCCGTCTTCCGCCTCGTTTTACTTCCGTCGACTTCCGCCGGCCAGCGTCGTGATGAAAATTCCAGGAACTTTCATTGGGCCGATGTATGCGCAGGCTGTACATCGGCCTGTCGCGGGGCGCTGGCCAACTTCAGAGGCCCTCCAGAGGAGAGCACCCGAGGCCTGCGCATGGCCCATGCACAAGCCAATGGAAGGTCTGCGTGAAGGCTGTGCATAGGATTATCTCGGAGCGCCGGCCCCTCCGTAGGCCCTCCAGAGGCCTACCACAGGCGTGCGCACAGCCTGTGCACAGGCCTGTGGTGGACTTATGCGCAGGCTGTGCATAAGCCTTTCGCGGGACGCCAGTGTCTACATAGGCCCACTAGAAGCCTATCACCGGCCTGTACACAGCATATGCACAGTCTTTGGGTTCTGCTGAGCCAAGCCCCTTCACGTGTGCCATGGCATTCCCATCATCCGAAAGGAGGCCATGTCAAAATTCCGTGGGTTCTGTAAAGCCAAACCCAAGCATTTTGACGTGGCGCTCCCTTCAGCTCACAGGAGGCCATGTCAAAATGCCGTCGGTTCTGCAAGCCAACACCAGAAGCCCAAAGAAGGCCATGTCAAAATTCCGTGGGCTCTGCAAAGCCAAGCCCCAGGAGTTGTTGGCATGGCGGTCCCGTCAGTCCAAAGGAGGTCATGCCAAAAATCCGTGGGTTCTGCAGAGCCAAACCCAAGCATTTTGACGCGGCGCTCCCTTTAACCCAAGGGGGGCCTATCAAAACCCCGTGGGCTCTGCAGAGCCAGCCCCACAGATTTTTGACATGGCGCTCCCATCTGTCCAGCGGAAGACACGTCAAAATCCCGTGGTTTCGGCAAAGCCAAACCCAAAGATGCTTGACATGGCATCCCCTTCAGCCCGGTGGAGGTCATCACATGGTTCCGTTGGCTCTGCACAGCCAAACCCAAAGATTTTGATATGGCCTTACCTTCAGCCCAACAGGTGCCATTCCAACATCCCGTGGGTTCTGCAGGACCCAACCCACGGATGTTTGACATGGCGTTCCCTTCAGCCCAAGCGAGTTCATGTCAAAATCCCACAGATTCTGCAAAGCCAAACCCAAGGAATTGCGACATGGCCTGCCCTTCAGCCCAATGGAGGCTATGCCAAAACCCGCTGGGTTCTGCAAAACGGAGACCAGACGTCCCCTTCAGCTCAAAGCAGGCCATGTCAAAATGCCGTGGGTGTTGCAGGACCAAACCCAAGGATTTGTGACATGACACTCCCTTCAGCCCAAAGGGGATCATGTCAAAAACCCATGGGATCGGCAAAGCCAAACCCAAGAATGTTTGACCTCCCCATCCTCCCCCCCCCGAGCCCAAAAGGACACAGATCAATTTTCTGTAGGCCCTGCAAGCCAAACCCAACCATGTGTTGCCATGGCGTTCCCTTCAGCCCAAAGGCGGACATGTCAAAATGCCGTGGGCTCTTCAGAGCCAACCCCAAGGATGTTTGACATGGCGTTCCCTCCAGTCCAAAGGAGCCTTTGTCAAAATTCCGTGGCTTCAGCAGAATGTTTGACATGGCACTCCCTTCAGCCCAAAGGTGACCGTGTGAAAACCCCGTAGATTCGTCAAAGCCAAACCCGCAGATTTTGACATGGCGTTTCTTTCGGCCCAGAGAAGGCCATGCCAAAATTCATAGGCCAAGCAGGGCCAAATCCAAGGATTCCCCTACGAAACAAAGCGAAAACCAACACGATGCAACGAACAGGCGCGCGCAAAACAACATAAAACAAAGCGTGCGGCATGAATCGAAAAACGAAACCAATTCAAAACAAAACGCTTCGCCTGACCAATCCGATCCCAATGTTTTACGCAATCGTTTGAAACGGAAGCAAGACACGCTTAGAACGCAGAACAAGACAAACAGATCAAGCATGCGTTCCTGTTCCACCACGCTTTCTGCCTTCTCGGGGCGCTCGGGGTCCGGGAGGCCTCGCCTCCACCCTGGCCGGCGGGGTCCTGCGGCCTAAGCAGCATCTCCGGCCCCAGGCCCGGATTGGCCTCCATGTGCTGCATGAGCTGCTCGGGCTGGCGGGGTGGCAGGGGTGGCTTCGGCCGCCCACCCCCCCTCGCTTGACAGTTACACATCATGGATGCTGTCCCCCTCTCTCCCCTGACTCCGTCTGGTGGGCAACGGTGGCTTTTCCAACTGTTGTGTTCACAATCCGATTGTGTTCGGTGCTTCCACATGGTGTTCCCTCTGTAGCGTGGATCTCATTTTCGGATCGGCGCTTCGCTCCCGTCGTTCAGAATGGCGCGCTCGCTCTGGATCCGAATCCTCGTTCATTGTTGTCGCCCCCCTCATTTCCCCTCCGCGGCGTTCCCCTGGTCCTCCTGCTCCTCCCGCTCCTTCCACTCTAGTTCCTGCTGCTGCTGTTCGTCCTCGTCCTCCTTCCACATCCTCTTTTTCCTCCTGCTCATCCTCGTACTCATGCGCCACCTCGTCCTCTTATGTACGTAGCTCCCCTTCGCCGAATGCGCATAACACGATGGAATCTGTTTGCCGAAGTTCCAGACCGGCTATGACACGCGTCCGCGGATAGAGACAAGATCCGCGCCATGGGAGGGGATGGGAGGAGGGGATAGGATGTCAGATATGGCACGAATGCACCCAGTTTGACCATCCCCCCACCCGCGACACCCCGCCGTTCCAGCTCTCCCCCTCCCTCCCCGTCGGCCCGCCCTTCCCCCCTGGCGGCAGGGGGGGCGCTGCGCTCGCCCCCCCTCCTGCAACCTCCCGCCCCCTCTGCTCAGCCCCGCCCCCGCCGCGTCCGCACCCTCCCGCCTGCCTGTTCCTCCCCCCTCCCGCGCCGAGGCCCCTCAGCTGCGCGCATCGCGCCCCGCGATGCGCGACGCGCGACGCGCGGTGATCTTCGCGCCCTCGCGCCGCCCGCCGCAGAAGGCCAGCTCGGCGGCCCCAGCCGCGACGCGAGAAGCGCGGCTATCTTCGTGCCCCCCAGGGGGGTCCCGGCGCCATTCCTCCCCACCCCCCGCTTAGTTGATGTTGCAGACGCTGGGCGCGTGTCCCCCCCGCTTTCAACTGTTTGAGTTTTCGGTCACCCAGAACTGATGGAATCTGTTCTCTTGTTGACCAAAAACGGCAACAACCAAAAAGGACTGCAGTGCAAAGCTGAAACGAACCGAAGCAAACCGAACATATCGCGAAGTAGAATCCAAAACGAGAAAACGGAGCAAAAAACGAAACAACACATGTCGATCTTGAACGCGACAAACAGAAAACCCTGCCGGCCCAGGCGCGTACCGCGCTCCAGAGAGGGGTGAACAGCGCCGATTCTAGAAACCCGCGTGGAGATCAAAGAAACTAGGGCTGTGCCGAGTTTCCTTCCCGTGCGGAAGCAGGATGGCGAGATTCAAGATATCGGCCCGAAGAGGAAGTTCGACTCATGCTTATTGGATTCTCGTTCGGGCGAGAGGCTCGCGTGCGGCGTGCTCAACATAGTCCGGCCGACTCCGGAAACCCTGAACCCAAAAATGTTGTCATCTCTTGGGGGCACATCTTTTACTTCTGCCGCCGTCCGGCAGCCGTCCGCCGGCTTCCGCCAGCGGAGGCGGCCTCGTTTTACTTCCGCCGAGCTTCCGCCGCCCGTCCGGCCGCCGAAGATGAGATGGCAACTCCTTCGATCCTCGAAGGCCAGGCCCTGTTTGGAGCGCCCCGGAAAAAGAGGAGCAGGAGGAGGAGGAGAAAGAGCCAGCGAACAAACGAGCGCGGGAGTCGCGCCCGCTCCGCTGGGGGGGGGGCCCGCCCGTGCCCATGAAGGCCGCAGGCCTCGAACAGGCGGCACGCACGCCCCAGCTGTCTTGCGCCAGGGAGGAGCGAGGGCCCCGAGAAGCGGGGCGAGGAGGCGGCGAGGGCTCTCCGTCGTCGTCGGCGTCGTCGTCGTCGGCGTCGTCGTCGTCGGCGTCGTCGTCGGCGGCGGCGTCGGCGGCGGCGTCCGCTTCGGCGTTGGCGTCGGCGTCGGCGTCGTCGGCGTCGGCGTCGTCGGCGTCGGCGGCGTCCGCGTCGGCGGCGTCGGCGTCGGCGTCGGCGTCGGCGTCCGCGTCGTCGGCGTCGTCGGCGTCGGCGTCGGCATCAGCGTCGGCGTCGGCGTCGTCGACGGCGTCGTCGTCATCATCGTCTTTGGTGTTGCTTTGGGGCTGTCCTGGTGCTCTCTTGGGGCCATCATGACCATCATGAGGAGACCGGAGTGGGGAGGCACGGGGGCCGGCCAGCGGACGAACGAATGGCGGTGGTCCGAATGATGCTGTTGTTGTGCCCGCCCGTCGCTTCCGCGAGGCGCGTCTGCCGAGAAACGACTCACTCAATCTGGCCCACAACTTTGTCTGATTCATCATCATTGACCCTCGTTGCATGATCGCCCATCTTCTCATTGACCCTCTCCTCTTCCCCCTGAGCTTCGTATCGAGCGCAGCGAGATCTAGCAACTGGGCCCAGAACTGGATAATCTCTATCCGTTTGACGCGAACAACGCTGTTGGAGGCGAGGGTGCGGACGAGGTCAAACTCTTTCTGGGCTGTAAGGGTTCTCATCGCGGCTGCTCTAGACTGTCTCAAATACGTTATCAATACGCCCTTGTTTAGAGTCAAGAAGGTTCTAAGCTATGGAAATCGACGTCACTCTAAGCGTTTTCTTGAATCGTAGTCCAGATGCGAAAATGGTCCCCGAGAACACACCCAGGGTCCAGCCCAGATCCGTGATTTTCTTCAACGAAACCTGGAACCAGGGGGACACGTTGATTCTTCTTCAGACGCCGGATGGGCGTCTTCTCCATGAATTGCCGGAGTGCCGTCTCCAGCGTTGTTGAACGAATGAACGCGTGTCGGTCCTCTTCACGCCTCGTGCGACTGCTGCGCGCCGCCCCTCGTTCTGGGGGGGTGCGCTCGGAACCACCGACATCCGTCTACTTGCAGCTCGGCTGCGCGGGGTGGCCACTTAAGCCTTGAGCCAACATGAGCGACGATCGAACACGGGTCTTGCGCGAGATGGCGTGGCGACCTTACCCGGCGGCTTACGCGGGCCGCCAGCGAACGCGCTGCGCTGGAAGCGAGGGCGCCTTCGCGCGACCTTACGCGGGAAGCTTACGCGACAATGCCGGTGAAGACGAACCCGTTTACCTTCGTCGCTCACATAGCTTGAGCCAGGAGGAGGAGGAGGAGGAGGAGGAGGAGGAGGAGGAGGAGGAGGAGGAGGAGGAAGGGGAGGAGGAGGAGGAGGAGGAGGAGGAGGAGGAGGAGGAGGAGGAGGAGGGGGAGGAGGAGGAGGAGGAAGGGGAGGAGAAGAAGGAGGAGACCTCACCCCCATGTACGCACCTCACCCCCCCATCCACGTATGAACCCACATCTCTCCACCCTTGCCGCCTCATTCTTTCTCCGCTCCCGTGGAGGGGGGACGAGGACGGAGCGGGCCTGCCAGTGCACGGGGTCCGTCGTGGCCAGGGGGTAAAACTCCACACCTGCCATCGGGGGGGGGGGGAAGAGAGAGAGAGAGAGAGGGAGCGCACTGGAGGCCTATTTCGGGCCTCGGGGCCGTCAATGAAGCGACTCGGGATGAAATCACTGCCCTGGGGAAAGGGTCGAGAGGTCCAGGGGCCTACGCACCGACAAAATCGGCACACCAAACGTCTGGGCTCCGCCCTCCCTCCTCTCCACTGCGACTGGCTCACGACTGCTGCGCGACCAGTCGAACTGCCAGACATGTGAACAAAAAGCGGCACAACCAGAAGCTTTCGGAGGTCCGCGCGGACTTCTTCGATCCACGCGCAGCGCGCCAGGGGCGGCGCCAGAGGGCGCCACGGGTGCCCAGCGCAGATCCCAGAAATCCGTGCGGAACTCCGAAAGTTTATGTTTACGCCGTCTTCGAAGACAGCCTGGGGTTGCCCCCCCGAGGCTGAGCCCGACCGCCCTCCCTCCTCCTCCTGCCTACTTCCTCCTCTCCCCGGCTCGGCCACGCAGGCTTCCATGAGAAAGCGGCCCCCAACCGAAGGGAACCTCCTTACTCCTCCTGCCCCTCCCCCCCTGAGATCCGACGTCGCGAAAAAAAGATGTCCCCAAAACCGCGCCCGGAGCCCTGGACCCAATCTTTCTGCGGCACTTCTCCAGCGGGTTCGATCCCTGAGGGTCCCGGGTCCCAAAAAAGGGCACACCCGCCTGATGCGCAAAAATAAATAGGAGCGACGCGTGGATCTCAGGGTCCCTCCTTGCTCCCCCGCACTCCTCCTAGCATCGAGAGGCAACAAAGTACACAAACATAGACTTTCGGAAGTCCGCGCTGATTTAGTGGATCGGCGCTGGACCCCCTCCCTAGTGCGCAGAGCGCGGGCGCCGCCAGGAGGGCGCCCAACGCCGATCCGAGAAATCCGCGCGAAGCTCCAAAAGTTCAGTCAACCCGCAGAATAAGGACGCACGATCAGGACGCAAGGGCCTTGGAAGGCCATGTCGACACTTTGCGAGCGGGGCGCGGCCAGCCAAAGCGGCCAAGAATGGGCCGAAGGGGACGGACGCCAGGGTAACCCTGGAGAGTCGCTCCTTACTTTGCGGGCTTACTGGGTGTTTATGCAATTGATTGTTCCCTACCTAGGCTCTGCCTAGAAGGGTTCTTACTCGGTGTGCTTAAAGGGCCGGGCAGTGGAACGCGCCTCGGGCGGTTCCCCCAGTATCCGCCCCGCGGTTCCCCCAGTTACGTCCCCTTAGCTTAGCGTTGCTTATCTCATCTTAGCTTAGCTTATTTCATCTTAGCTTAGCTTAGGTTCATCTTAGCTCAGGTTTATATTAGCTAGCTTACCTTCATCTTAGCTTCGCTGAGCTTTAGCATAGCAGAGCACAGCATAGCATAGCATATCATAGCGTAGCATAGCATAGCGCAGCACAGCATATCATAGCATAGCCCAGCATAGCATAGCATAGCTCAGCATATCATAGCACAGCATAGCATAGCGCAACACAGCACAGCACAGCATAGCTCAGCGCAGCATAGCATAGCATAACATAGCATCGCATAGCATAGCATAGCATAGCATAGAGCAGCTTAACATAGCATAGCATAGCATAGCTTAGCATAGCACAGCGCAGCATGACATCGCATAGCTTATCATAGCATAGCATAACATAGCATAGCATAGCATAGCATAGCGCAGCATAGCATAGCATATCATAGCGTAGCGCAGCATAGCATGGCATAGCATAGCATAGCATAGCAACTAATGCTGCTTTCCTAGGGGCTCCAACTTCTAGATAGGGTCGCACTGGGGTAATTCTTAGACTTACAAGTTACAAGAGCCCGTCCCAGGGTCGCGCCCGCAGCCAGCACGAGCTGCTCGAACTGGGCGTGGGTGGCCAAGCGGCAGCGGTGGCCCGCGCTGCTGAGCGCCCGGGCCGTGGAGATGAAGACCTGCACGTCGCCACGCGAGCCAACAGCGAGCAGCAGCACGTCCATCCTGCCGGGGGGGAGCCCACGATCGGCGGAGACGTGACGCACTCGAACACGGATGCCCGTCGGCCATCCTACTCCTCCGGCGAGGCATGCTTCGTCTCGCGACGCGGGCTCCCTGGGGATCTGGACCTTCTCCCAGTGGCTGGCGTCTCATTCTGAGTCGTGTTTGACGGTCCAGTGGCGAGGACACGGCCTCCGAAGGCCGAAACCACCCAAAAACAAAAAGCAACAAACAACTGTTGCGAATTATTGTGCGATGCCCAGATTTGAAGGAAGCTGGAAGGCTGCGTCTTTACAACATGGCCACGATCGAACACCAAAGAGAGACGCCCTCCCAGCAGAGCTAAGATAAGAAGGCGCTTCCGCCGTTCTCTGGGCCCAGGGCGAGCGTGACAAGGACTAAGCCGATCAATTGCTTGCGCGCTCCTCCAGGAGATCCGACGTCTTGATCTGTCTGGAGCCCCCTGAAGTGCCACCCCAAAAGTCATGGGCTTGCAGCTCGAGCTGGCCCACGAACACTTCCGCGTTGCCAGAAGCCGGCAGCACGCGGGCCAATTAACCTCAAGACAAAACCAGCGAAACCAGTGAACCGCAAGCCGAAGCCGATCTGATACAGATAAAAAGCCAGCGCTGGGGGAAGGAGGTATCCCCTTTTACCCAGGGCTGGCGTTGCATCCTAAGCTGGTTTCGGCAGGCCCTGGGTCACGGCGAGGGGCCCCAGGGGCCGAAAACGGCGAATCGTCAATACGCTGGAGTTCTGGTTTGAATTGGAGGTCTGCTTTTCCAGCCACAACTCGGGCCGACAACGGCCGTTCGTCACGATTCGGGCACCCCTGGAAGGCCCTCGGCGAGGCGCAGCTGATGGAAAGCACACTGGCCCCGAAGACCTTCAAAACGATCGAACACTGCCCGAAAACTGAAAAGAATTCACCGAATCCACTGGAGGAACATCCAGCAAACATCCGACGATGTAAATTGTTTCTTTGCGCGGCCCCGGACGTCCCGACCCCTTCCGCGGGCCCCCATTCTAATTTTGATGGACCCGGAAGCCAAACTCTATGACAAACACCCCACTATCGACGTTTCGTCCGAATGTTTCACGGTCAGTCGAAACATCGAGGCCCGAAATCGACGTTTCGTCGCAATGTTCCACGGATCCCAGAAGCCGAAATCCAAGAGAAACTCCAGGATCGAAAAAAAAAAAAAACACGTCGTCGGAGACCTGCGCCATCTGTGCCGATTGTCTCTGGACTCGGGCATGGCCTCACTCCTGTAGGCAAAATGGTTCCTGTTTCGCGCATCTTCGGGGCGCCAGGGGGCGCCCTTGAGGGACCCATCCCTGCAACCCTCGCTCCCCACCCCCCCGTGATCGCCCCCCCCCCCCCCCTGTACAGACTACCTACCAAGCCACCCCAGCCCAACCCAAGACCCGAATTTCGGGTTGAGGGGCGGCACGGGCTTCGTATATGCTTTTCCCGTATTCCCTGGCCCCCCTCCACACTGGGAATGGAGAGCAGATTGGGGCCTTCGGGTTGGGTTGGGGTGGTCTCGTGCGTGGTGAGTTACGAAGCGCCCGAAAGGCGCTTGATGCCGGGGCGCTCAGGTCCTGGGCACGGGCAGCCGGGGCGCCAGCGCGGGGCAGCGCTGCGCGTCGTCTGGGCGGAGGCCGAGGACGCGGCACGCCGTGTCCGCGGTGGGCAGGGCGCGGCGGAGGATGCGCTCCAGCCTCTGGGGCGGCGCGCACAGACCCTGAAATCCAGGCTCGGGCGCTGCTTCGTGGTCGGGGCAGTGAACGGGGGGGGGGAGGAAGGGCTCTTTCTCTGCATGCCACCGACATCCTGCAGCCGTGCAAAGTAATAGCCGACCTCCCAGGCTCCACAGGCTCCACCAGCAAAGTGCAGGAAGCGACGGACCGAAGACACCTTACCAGGAAGGACTGCACAGAACACCGCCGAGCAGGTAGGAACATCACAAGGGCCAAATCGCCATGGGCGAGCCAATAGGCGCCTCTGGCCCCAGGGGTGGGAGAAAGAAAGGCGCGCACTTCTTCACCATCGGGGCACCATGGGGGAACGAGGAGGAGGAGGAGGAGGAGGAGGAGGAGGAGGAGGAGGCGGATAGGGAGGGTAGGGAGGAGGAGGATAGGGAGGAGGACGAGGAAGAAGAGGAGGAGAAGGGCCTATCCCCGCCCCCCGCAGCCCTCGATCCGTGCCCACTCGTCGCCCCGCCGCAGCGAGGCGCCCGACAAGGGCGTCGCGTTCTCTCCACGCCGGGCGTTCCCGTCCGGGCTTCCCGGGCCCCCGGGCCCTCGCGGCTCCATCGGGCCCGGGAGACGCCGCGGCAAGGACGGGGCCTGGAGCTCCAGGCGTGGTTCTCACGATGCTGCAGGGCTTGGCGCGCGCGGGCCGCCTCCGAAGAGGGAGGGGAGACTCTCGGAAGGCGGGGGCCGACGCACCGAACAGGCCGAGGCGGTGGTTTTTCACCGTGTCCGGCCTCCGGGGACCCTCGCTGGGCCCCCAGGGGGGCCGTCCAAAAACAGCCCGTGGTGAAAAGCCGGCCCTGAATAGAGAGAGGGTTGGGAATTTGGGGTACCGCGAAGTCAAAGAAATCGAACCATTGGATCTCTGGGGGGGGCGCGAGGGGAGCGGCCTTCTGAGAAGGCCAGGGGGGGGGTCCTCTGAAGACGGGGGCCCTCTTGCAAGGGCACAGGGGCGTCTAACAGGGCGTCTTAGAAGCCGCGAAGGCTTCTGACAGGCACCCTGCCTTCTGCAGGAAAACAAAAATCAGTATACCGCGGGAATCCCAGCAGCCATCTGGGCGTAGGTGGTCCAGAGAGGTTCCTCTTCCAACCCCCTTCTTCCTCTTCGGGGCAGGGTTTACCCCTCCTCCTACCCCTACCCCCTCCCCTGGACCTGGACAGGGCGCGCAGCGAGCGGTCAGAGCATCGAAGATGGCCCAAGGCGACTCCAAGAGGGCCTCAGAGAGACCAAGATGACTTCCAAGACGGCCCAAGATAGCCCAAGCTGGCTCAAGATGGCTCCCAAGATGCTCCAAGAGGCCGCAAAACCGCTCCAAGACGGCTCCAAGTGGCCACGGAGCCTCCCCATGAGGCCGCCAAGAGGCCAAAATCCTTCAAGAACCTAAGGAAAATCAATGAACTTCGCTCACGCCTTTTTGCTTTCGATGGTCTCCCGAGGCTTCAAGAGAGGCCAAAGAGCGCCCCAGGACGGCCGCCCCACGAGCGCTCCAAGAGCGGTCCAAGAGGCGATGTGTTGGGTTCCCTAGGGGGAGGGGGGGGGGCCACCGTTGTTGATCGATCTCCTCCAAGATGACCCCAAGAGCGCTCCCAAATCTCCCAAGAGCCCTTCAAGAAGGCAGGTCGCAAGAGACGCCCAAGAGGTCTCCCAGAGGCTCCCGAGAGATCCCCAAGAGGACCCGAGAGGCTTCCCGAGGCACCCAAGACGCTCCAAGAGGCTCCCGGGACCGCCACGAAGCCCCCAAGACGCTTCAGGAGGCCTCCCAAAGGCTTCCAAGAGACATCCGAAGCGACTTCTCCTCCCTCCTCCCTCCTCCCTCCTCCCTCCTCCCTCCTCCCCCTCCCCCCTCCTCCTCCTCCTCCTCCTCCTCCTCCTCCTCCTCCTCCTCCTCCTCCTCCTCCTCCTCCTCCTCCTCCTCCTCCTCCTCCTCCTCCTCCTCCTCCTCCCTTGGGGCGTCAAGAATTTCTTTGGTCGGCGGTGGACCCCTCTCCCGTGCGCGCGGAGCGCACGGTGCTGGAGGCGCCGCCAGGGGGGTCCAAATCCGTGGGCACCTCCGATAAGTTATGTTCATGCTTCATGCTGTTTTTTCGTCGTCGCGACTCTCGGGCGTGCCACCGGTCAGGAGTCGGACCTCCACCAATGGGTTCTCGGTGGCGGTGGTCCATGTCTCTCCTCTGAAACAAGCCTAACAGCAAAAATGTCGAATCCTATCCCAGGCTTCGCGGGGTTTTCGAATGGACCAAAAGATATGGGGCCCAACCCTGTGATATAAGATTGGGGGGCGTCCATCCTCGATAGGGGTACGTCCGAATAGCTCCCTTGGGGTATATCCCAGGGTGACCCCCGTTGTCTGAGCGGCTGAGCTTTTCAAGCGGAGCTCGGGGATTGGTGGAGAAAAGTCGCCTGTGATTTTTCTCTGAAAGAAACCTCGCAGGCGACTTTTCCCCCAAATCCCCGAGCTCCGACCGAAAAGCTCAGCCGCTCAGAAAAATTGAAAATCCTGGGATACACCCCAAGGGGGCTATTCGGACAAACCCCTATCGAGGATGGACGCCCCCCCTCCGTATATCCCAGCGTCGGGCCCCAAATTCTTGGTCCAGCAATGCTCCCAAAGCCTGGGGTCGACATATCCCCTGCGCGTTTCTCGTCTGAAAGAAGCCTCCCACCTTCTCCAGGCGACCCCCCTCGCGCCACGCACACACACACACACACACACACATACACACACTGGTGCACGCCGCCAGGCCTTAGCGAGGCGCGGCGCAGCTGCGGCTCCGTGGCGTCCACGAGCGCGTCGAACGAGCGTTCCTGGGAGGAGCAAGAGGCGGCATGTTGGGCCTCGCTGCGATGTGTGGCGAGTCACGGGGGGGGGGGGAGAAAGGTGCACTGCTGGGGCCCCGAAGGCCCCCTTCTGGACCCTGAAGGGCCCCGTTTAGGGACCCTGCAGGGACCCTTGTCTGCAGCCCTCGCTGCCCCCCCATGCATCGCCCCTCCCCCATGACACGACGCCCAAGCATGAGCATGACCGTGAGATCCAGGCGTTGAACTTTTTCACATCGGGCGCTTCCGCCCAAATTCCGCTCGGGAGACTCCGCAATAACATGGGGTCCAGGGCTCTGGTCATGATTTTGTTCGATGCTGAACTTGTTCCGAGACGTCGGATCTAAGAGAAGCCTTCGCAGTTCCGCGCGGGTTCCTTGGATCGGCGCTGGATCCCCCCTGACGGCCCCTCCGGAACCGACCCTGGCGCCCTCCTCGCGCCAGGGGAGGGAGGCAGGGGGTCCAGCGCCGACGACAGGAATCCGCGTGGATCTCCGAAGGTTTACGCCAGAGCCGTTTGTTGTTCCTCTGGCTCCAAGAACGGAACGGCCTCTGCCTCGCCGCTCTCGAGCAGCCGCAGGAATGCCGCCCGGAGCGCCGGGACGCTGCGCAGCGCCACGTGAGGTGGGTACCCCGAGGCGTCCACTTCGATGAAGTAGAAGACGTCGTCGGAGTACGCGGCCGAGAAGCCCACGACGCTCAGCCGGACGTCCCTGGGAGCCTGCAGCGAAGAGGCCCGGTCGGCCGAGGGGGCGCCCGCGAAGCTCGCAAAGCTCGCGAAGCTGCCGACGGGCGCCTCCGACGCCGAGCTGTGGAGCCTCCAGAGGACCCGGTCGTACTTCTCCAGCGTCAGGGTCAAGGACAGGCACTCGACGACCACGAGCAGCATGCGGCTGCTCATCGTGAAGACGTTGACGCCGAGCTCGTCAACGTGGTGGGCCGCCCGGCTGGCCAGGATGGCGAAGAAGATGCCGAGGACGAGCAGGTCGAAGAGCAGGATGGGACGAACGCCGAGGCTCCACATCGAGTGCGCCGAGAAGACGAGGAAGACGAAGGGGTCGCTCGGCAGCACCGCCCTCGGCACCCTCGGGGCGCTGTCCACCTTGCCCAGGCCGCCGCACCAGAGGAAGCTGGCGGAGAAGGCCAGCTGCGCGCCCATGAACACCCAGACGGGCCAGCCCTCGCTCCCGCCGCGGCAGCCCAGCGCCACGGCCGCCGACAGCATGAGCAGCATGGCCGCCGTCTGCAGGGTCGCGCACGAGAGCGCGAGCTCCGCCCGGGCGTACTGGTCCCATGAGAGCCACAGGTACGGCAGCGCCAGCCCGCCGACCCCCGCGACGAGGTAGTGGCCCCTGCGGCGGAGCCAGGCGCGGGCGCTCGCGAGCCGCCACCTCGCGAAGCGCTTTTCCTCGTCGGCGCTGGCGTCCGGAAAGCGGGTTACCAGGGTGCGGTCGAGGTACGAGGCGAAGAACCTGCGCGCTCCACCGCCTATGCTGTCAAAGTCGCAGGCGAGCCTCGACGAGCCGTGTGCCCTCGTGAGGCTGGCGTGATCGCTGAGGTACTCGAAGATGTACTTTTGGCGTTTGAACACCGACGCGCCCGCCTGAGCGCCGAAAATCAGCAGCACGCCACAGAGCACACTGCCGATGGCCGTGTGCACCTGCGCTGCGTCAACCTCCCCGCGCGACTCCACGACGTCCCGTACAGTCAGGCTCAGCGACCACAAGAGCGACAGCGCACAGCACGCCCCGCAGACCACCACCGCCAGCAGCGGGCGGAGGCGGCAGGACGAGAAGACGAAGACCACGAGGTGGAGCGGCGGCTGGGTCAGCACCAGCTCCTTCGCGCACGCGATGTGCGACTGGCGTGCCCCGTGGCACTGCTCGGTGACCAGGAACAGATTCCCGTAGTGCAGCACGAAGAGTGACGACGCCACCCAGACCATGACGGTGTGGCCCCGCTGCGGCGCAAGCCCCAGGCTCCCGAGGCAGCCGAGCCAGGCGGCGACGGAGGCCCCGAGCGCGACCGTGGTGTACGCATCGAAGGCGCGCTCGGCGTGAAGCTGGAGCAGCTCCACGGCCATGTTCACGGGAACCACCACCAGCACGAGGAGGAGCCAGTAGCTCCAGTTCCAGCAGTTGCAGGCCTGCCAGAACTCGGCCGACTCGAAGCCGAGTCGCAGGTGTTCCTCCCACGACTCCCACAACCATAGCTCATGGCGCTCCACATCCGCAGCCGCACGCCCCATCGCGGCAGCCCCTCCCACCCCTTCCAGACAAGGGGAAAAAATGCCTCTGCGGCGGAGCGGCCCGCTCACCGCTGTTATCTCTGCTGCCGCCTCTCCTGCTGGCAAAGCAGCTCGTATGTTCCGCAGCGCCTGGTTGACGGAGGAGAACAAGAAACCACGACTCGGAGGAGGGACAAAAACAGCGGTTGAGGCCATACTGTTCCACGAAAAGGCGTGGGCCCAGATTTCTCATGTCGACTTGTCAGTCCCAGGTGTCATGACTGAAAGGGACGGCAGATCCATAAAAAAACCCAGTGCGACCCTACCTAGGAGTTGGAACCCCCAGGAAAGCAGCATCAGTAGTAACAGTAACGCTAAGCTAAAGCTAAGCTAAAGCTAAGCTAAAGCTAAGCTAAAGCTAAGCTAAAGCTAAGCCACAACTAAGCTAAATTTAAGCTAAAGCTAAGCTAAAGCTAAGCTAAAGCTAATCTAAAGCTGAGCAACAGCTAAGCTAAAGCTAAGATACAGCTAAGCTAAAGCTAAGCTAAAGCTAAGCTAAAGCTAAGCTAAAGCTAAGCTAAAGCTAAGCTAAAGCTAAGTTAAAGCTAAGCTAAAGCTAAGCTAAAGCTAAGCTAAAGCTAAGCTAAAGCTAAGCTAAAGCTAAGCTAAAGCTAAGCTAAGCTAAAGCTAAGCTAAAGCTAAGCTAAAGCTAAGCTAAAGCTAAAGCTAAGCTAAAGCTAAGCTAGCTAAGCGCTAAAGCTAAGCTAAAGCTAAGCTAAAAAGCTAAGCTAAGAAGCTAAGCTAAAGCTAAGCTAAAGCTAAGCTAAAGCTAAGCTAAAGCTAAGCTAAAGCTAAGCTAAAAGCTAAAGCTAAAGCTAAAGCTAAAGCTAAAGCTAAAGCTAAAGCTCCCAGGGGACTGGGGGGAACCGCGGGGCGGGGACTGGGGGAACCGCCCGGGGCGCTTTGCACTGCCCGGCCCCTTTAAGCTAAGAGAGTAAGAACCCTTCTAGGCAGAGCCTAGGTAGGGAATGAGTGCGGGGAGGGCTATTCTGAAAGTGCCCGCTCGAGAAAAATGCGCCCACACAACGGATCTTCCATAAACAGCGCGGACAGACAAGAGACCCTCGACTTCCCAGGTAAAGACGGAGGTCCAGAAGCGTCCGCGGAATAATAGAAAGTGGATCCCGTGCAGCCCCACCTCCCGAACCTGGGGGCGCGCGCCTCGAGGCCGGCGAGTCAGGTCACCGAGGCACGGGCTGGGTCCGCGCAGGAATGATCCAGAGCCTAATATCCGCAGCAGGCGCCAACACTGGCCAGGGCCATCCTGGGCTGGTGCACAACGGATATGTGTATATGCCCTCCTGGCCTCGGCCGGGAGGCCTGTGCGCACTCCTGGGACCCAGGGATACTGGTGGTGTGCAGCCACCCTCTCCGGACCATCACGCCTCCGTCCCTCTCGGCCCCCCCAAACCCAATCCTGGTCCGGCCGCGCGCAGGAGCGGCCCTGGGCAAGAATGATTTTTGGCGCGCGGTTTGCCCATCGTTGCGTGCGATGCGACAGCAGCGGCCTCCGCGCCTAGGTTTGCGCCCATCGACCCCACCATCGAAGGGGCAAGCCTAGGCTCCGTGCCCAGGTACGCTCCCAATCTTTACTTCTTATGATTAAACACCCCGACATCCCCCCCAGCCGGCCGATAGCAACCCCGCCATCCTAACTGTCAAACAACAACGCAAACTCATTTTTTTTGTCGCCAACATGTCGTCGAGTTGATGAACATCGCTTGGGAGGCCCTAATCGGGTGGTCGCGTCCGACCTATCCAACAAAAAAACATACAAAGTCAACGTTTCTGTCGTCAACATGGACGTGCTTGTCGTCGGCGCTGCGAAAAGTGTAGCAGGAATTAGACGCGGCGCACATCGCGCGCGGACGCCTGGCCAACCCTACGCGGGATCCCCCGTCCTACCTGTCAGAAAACGCAGCAACGTCGACGGTTTCCTTGCCAACATGTACTTTCTCCTCGTCGGCGCTGCGAATCGCGCAGCGGTAGTGGGACTCGGCGCGCATAGCGCGGGGACGCCTGCTCGTCAGCATGGACTTTTTTGTCGTCGACGCTGCGGCCCGTCGGGTTGAGGGGCTGGGCGGGCGGCAAACCAGAATGCCTCAAGCAAGTGCGGTTCAAGCAAGTGCCTCAGGAGACCCCCAAGAGGTCGAAAAAAGGCGCCCACGAGGTCCTCGGGGGCAACACAAAGAAATATTGATTTTCATTTGGTGTTTGAAGGATTCTACGGTTAGCACCTGCTTGTGATGACAGTTTTCCAACCCAGAGATATATCCAAGAGGCCCTCAGGCGTATACCAGAAAACTCCCAGGACGCCCCGCAAATTCCCAAGAGGCATGATCCTCTTCCTCCTCAGTTTCTCCCTCCCTCCCTCTCTCCCTCCCCTCCTCCTCCTCCTCCTCCTCCTCCTCCTCCTCCTCCTCCTCCTCCTCCTCCTCCTCCTCCCCCCCTCCTCCATGCGCGGCAGGAGCGAAACGATTGGCGGTGCAACACGCGTGGTTGGAATGAGACGCGGCGCACTTCGCGCGCTGGACATGTTGCCGCCGACGATGCAACATGAGAGGCCGGAGCGGGGCGCGGCGTACATCGCGCACGGTCATGTTTCTCGTCGACGTTACTCAACACGCGGCAGGAATAGGACGCAGCTCATGTCGCGCGCTGAACGTCTAGCCGCCCACGGTGTAAGATGAGCGACAGGCGTCGGACGCGACGCACTTGCTTCTTATGTTGTGGGGGGGCGGGTGGGAGTGGACGGAGCCCTCTGGCTCGTTCGGGCTGGCTAACTTGACCCAACCCCACTCCCAACCCCGCGGCGCCGGAACCGGACAGAACGAAAACGGGGAAGCAAAAGGGCCCCGCCGTTTCCGAGGACCACTGGGCCCCCCCCCCCCACACCCAACCCCGCGCCCCCAGGACCCGCGCGCCCAGCGGCCCCTCCAGCGAGGGGCCAACCCCTGCGCGCTGCCGAGCAGTGGGCAGCGAGGCTCGCCCCGTTTCTGGCCGCGCGCGGGCCCCAAGGGGGACGGCACCGCGCGCGCAGCCCCAGCTCCCCAGGCAGCACGAGTCTGCGGCCCGGCAGCGCGCACAGGGGCGGGGGAGGAGGAAGGGGAGGAGGGGGGGGAGGGAGGGGCAGAAGGAGTAGGAGGACGACGAGGAGGACGAGGACGAAGGGGCCCGAGCCTGCCGAAATGGCGTCCTGCATCCAAGTATGTGGGAGCGCGCCCTCTGGCTCCTGCCCTCGCAGAGCTCTAACCTCGACCACCTGGGACCCCAAAACCCCGGACGCCTGCCAGAGTGAGCCCGAGGGAGGCGAGCATGCGGTAGAGGACCGGCCTGCTGAGGCCCGCCGCCGCTGGGACCCGTCCTCGTCTGGGTGGCCGCGGGGCCCTCAAAGTGCCCGGCCCAGGACCCCTGTGCATGGACAGCTCTGGGGCACCAACCACGCCCTTCCCTTTCTTAGGGCGCCGTTTTGCAGACAAAATCGCACTGCGATTCGCGTGAGCGCTGGCGATCGGGGCTCGCGGGCACGCGTCAGAGAGGCCTCGTCCCTTTTACTAAGAAGCATAGCCCGAGCAACGCGTACATTACAGCAGCGTGCTTGTCGAGGACGAAAGGGAGGACGAGGACGAGTAAGAGAAGCAGGAGGAGGAGGAGGAGGAGGAGGACAAGGAAAAGGAGCTGGTCGGAGAGCCCCCCCCGCCCCCCGCCGCATCTCGGAGAGCACCACGGTGGGGCCGAAACCAGCTGCATGGTGCAGGCTTCTTTCGTAGAACCCCTCCCCCCTTACACTCGCCCGGCCCAATACTCCTGACACCCCCTCCTAACACCCCACCCTCTTGGAGGCCTCTCCGGGAAGGCCGCCGCACACGTCCCGCCTCTGAGGGAGAAGGAGGAGGAGGAGGTGGAGGAGGGAACGACGGCCACGCCAGCGCCACGACGACACGATGACCGCTTCCCATCCCCCCGCCCCTGTCCACGTCGCCCCCCGCCCAGGCCGCCCGCGCTGTTGCGCTGCTCTCGTTTTTCTCACCCTCCCCCCCGGCCTGGATCAGGGGCCGTTGCCCGCAGCCGTGGGGCTGTACCGCATTATCTGGAGGGGACCGCCCTTACGCGCCTGACCCCAGTGGTCACCCATCCTAAAATGGGTGCCGGGGTCGCGGTTGAAGGAGGAGTAAGAGGAGGAGGAGGAGTAAGAGGAGGAGGAGGAAGGAGGAGGAGGAAGAGGAGGAGGAGGAGCAAGGGGGGGGAGGCAGGGAGGGAGGGATGGACCGACCCCGCCCCCCTCCCCCTCCTTTCCCTCACGCCCGCTCCGACAGCCCCCGCCCCACGCCGTCCCTCAAGCTTTCCTCTCCTCGCCCCTGCTGTGCCGCCACTGCTTCCACGCGCGCCTAGCGCGCAGCCCTCCCCTTCCTCTTCCTCTTCTCCTCCTTCTCCTCCTCCTCCTCCTCCTCCTCCTCCTCCTCCTCCTCCTCGTCCCCATCGCGCGCGAAGTCGAATTCAAGCGACTCGCATGTCGTCGCCGAAGGTGACGGCCCTGCGGTCGGACCCTCTGTTCCAGCCTGCCCCTGGGTCCCCTGTGGGGGTGTCAGTCTCTCTTTCGGGGAGCCTCCGGGGCCGTGGCGACCGGGAGGGAGGAGGGAGGGAGGGAGGGAGGGCTTGGAGGAGGAGTGCCCCCCTGCTCGCCGCCGGGGATGGTGGCGGCGCCTCTTCTGGGACCGCGCGGGCTCTGGCTGCGCGAATTCGGCCGCCTGGCCCGCCAACCAGCCCCCGGGCGGGCCGAGCGGATACAGCACGCCTCGGCGGCGGGGGCGGGCCGAGGCAGAGGGCTGATCCTCGGTCATCGATCCAAAACCTTGTCCATTCTCGATCCTCCCTCCATCTCCTTGACCCTCGACTTCCACGGGGAAGTGATGACCCCCCCAGTGATGACCCCCCCTGGCACAGCCCGCGGGCGGGGCGAG